TTTTATCCTGGCATCCCCGTCAACTAGCATGCCCCACTGCACTCCAGCCTGCAGCAAATTTGAGCAGGCAGTCAAAAAAAAAAAAAAAAAAAAAGAAGATTGAAAGAGATTTGGAAAGGGGTAATTTGTTGGGCCATTCATTGCTTTGGTGTCATTCATGGTGTCATCATATCGTGCAGCCACCACATAGCACTGAATGGTGAGGAGATCTTGTTTGCCGTGGACCTAGAAAACCATCTTGTCCCCGCTTTGGAAAGTGCTGCTAGCGTCTCACAAAACTTATGCTTTTTGTAGGCATTCACTCATACGGCACAATATGATGAAGCAATTTCAGATTATTTCAGGAGACAGTACAGCAAAGGCATATCTCAGATGCCCTTGCGCTATGGAATGAACCCTCATCAGACCCCTGCCCAGCTGTACACACTGAAGCCCAAGCTTCCCATCACAGGTAAAGCCTGAGCGTTCTGTGGCATGGTTTGCTGTGTCTGGAGAGTGTGTGTTTCTCTGTATTGCATCTGATGTGGTTCACATTCAGAAGATGATACATTCCATAATGCCTCTTGTAGCCATCTGATAACCATCTGGTTGGAGATGCCATTTGGACTGGAGAGCACAGAAGTTGAGTAGTCCGGAATTCTGAAAAGGTGTCATGTGGAGGTGGAGATTGGAGTGTCTCCGCCGGGTAGATGTTTTTGAAGACAGGAGACAGGATGGGATGGCCTGGATTTTATAGAGAAGAGGGTCAAGAATGAGCTTTGGGGTAAAGGCTTGGTAGGTATACTGTGGAGGAACCAGCAGAAGAAAACTTGTGAAATTCCTGTTGCTGACTCTTGAGGAGCAAGTTTTCTAAGCCCTTTAGGTTTCCCCAGACATTACTGAAGAAATTGCAGCCTCTGGAAGAAGTCTGACTATTCTCCAAGGTCTGCTTTGTGGTGAGCCAGTCCTGGGGGTTGGTGCTGGGTATGTAAGGAGCCTGATGACCACTGGCAGGTTAGCTTCCAAGGAGCCATTTGCGGAGAGGGACAGCTGCAATACTGGATGCTGGCTTCTGCTCTGGCATTAGGATGTAGCCTCTCCTCCAGGAAGGACCCAGTATTTGATGAAGTAACATAAACCATCAAGTTCTCAGGAATTTGAATTGTTTTGGAGACCTAAATGTGTTGATGGTCTGGCACAGAGCAGTTGTGCATTTGAGAACAGAAAAGGGACTGTTTGTTTTGCAAATGTTGTAAGAAACTGTTTCCTTGGAATGTTGGAGCTAGAAGCCCAATTGAAGTAGGCCAAAGGAGAAATGTGATGTTAAGAACTAACAATGTTAAAGAGGTTTCTTTGAACAGAGAAAGTAGGACTTCCCATGGGTTTGTAGAGTTTAGAGAGAGTTTTTAAATTTGTGGCCTGTTCTGTTCCAAAGGTAGGCTGTGAGAGCCTGTTCTGCTCTGGTACAAGGGAGAGTAGGGGCAGGGACAGAGGTGAGTGTCCCAGGCATGGAGGCCTTGGAATCCCAAGCACTGCTGGGGTAGCTGGCCTTGGCTGAGAGCAAGGGCAGCCTCCTTCCTGCCTGGGGTGGTCAGCATTTGCTGGGGGGATGCAGCCTGGGCTTCCTTTCTCTGTCACCAGCTGAGAGAGCAATGGGGAGGGGAGCAGCGTGCCAGGTGGGAGGAGAATCTGAAATAGTCTTCATGTTTGCTGCATTCTATTGTTCTGCCTCAGATAGATTTTTTTTCTTTTTTTAATTAAGATGATGGAGTCTTGCTCTATCACCCAGGCTGGAGTGCAGTGGTGCAATCGCTGGTTCAAGCGATACTCCTGCCTCAGCCTCCTGAGTAGCTGGGATTACAGGTGCGCACCACCATGCCTGGCTAGTTTTTCTGTTTTTAGTAGAGACGGGACTTCACCATGTTGGCCAGGCTGGTCTCAGACTCCTGACCTCAAGTTATCTGCCCGCCTCAGCCTCCCAGAGTGCTGGGATATTACAGGTGTGAGCCACCACACCTGGCCTCAGATACATTTTGACACTAACACTTCCCAAGTCCTCACAGCACAGTAATCTTTTAAAAATGGAAATCAGATGATGTGAGACCCTACTGAAAACCATTCCTTGGCTTTTCTTAAGCACCTTTCCCTGCCCCACAAACCCTGTGCTGCCTGCCTGCCACCTGTCTGCCCCCTCTGCAGCTCTCCCTGCCCTGGCTCCTAGCCCCACCGCCCTGTGCCTCCAGTGGGCCCAGCTCCTTCCACTCCAGAGCCTCTGGCTCCTTGTCCCCTTCACCCAGAATTCTTCCCTCTGCCCTTCACGATCCTGGTTTCTTGTTATTCAGTCCTCACCTCCTCAGAGAAGCCTTCCCTGACCACTTAGACCAAAGTAATCGCCCATCATGCTTTCATCCCGTCACCCTGTTTTGCTGCACGTGTTTCTGTTTATTCCGTTCAAGTTGTCGTTCCCCATTAGGATGGCAGCTTCTTTTTTTTTTGAGATGAAGTTTCACTTTTTGCCCAGACTGGAGCTCAGTGGTGCTGTCTTGGCTTACCGCAAACTCCGCCTCCCAGGTTCAAATGATTCTCCTGCCTTAGCCTCCCGAATAGCTGGGAATACAGGCGCCTGCCACCACAACCGGCTATTTTTGTATTTTAGTAGAGATAGGGTTTCACCATGTTGGCCGGCTGGTCCTGAGCTCCTGACCTCAGGTGATCTGCCTGCCTCGGCCTCCCAAAATTCTGGGATTACAGGCACAGCGCCCGGCCAGGATGTCAGGTTCTGAGAGCAGAAGCTGCATCTGTTTTTGTTTGTTGCTGAATCCCCAGGGTTTAGAAGACTGCTTGGCACATTCCCTAAATGTTTACTGAATGAACAATTAGAAACCTGACATTTTGCACAAATTTTTCCTTCTAGGACTTCTTGAAACCGATTTGTCTGCTGTTATATCTGAGCTATTTCCTGCTTATAGTTTATATTCTCCATTAAGATCCTAAGGCAAAAAAAAAAATCCCTATGTACTGTCAGTTCTTACACTTTTCATTTTCCAAAGCGTTTTCACTGGACTATATAAAAGCCTTCATTGTTCCTTAGACTGTGTGTGTGTTTCTTTTGAAGTTTAAAGTATTATTTGTGGTAAACATGGCAGAGGTGGCCCTGGACACATAAATAAGCCTTTCTTGTGTGAGATTCCCAGGATTTCTCCCCATCATGGACTTATTTCCACAACAGAAAAGGCAGTTTGCCTTTTCATATGGTTTGAGTATTTGGCAGTGATGTTATTACAAAGTGTACAGTTGTGTTTGTATCTAAAACAAAATTGAAGCAAGAACAAAGATGGGGTTGTATGAGTGTGTGTATGTGTCTGAGATTTTAATGACTGGTTTGCTTATGTTTGGAAACACGAAGATTCCTATTTATTTCAGCTCTTTACTAGATTAAGCAACTTTCATCATTTCTCTGCTGCACTTTCTATTTCAGTTATTAATGTCTTTGAAAATTTAATATTTGAAGGGGAACCAGATACTCTTTTATTTTGAGGCAGAGTCTTGCTCTGTTGCCCAGGCTGGAGTGCGGTGGCGTGATCTCGGCTCACCAGAAACTCTGCCTCCCAGGTTCAAGCGATTCTCCTGCCTCAGCCTCCTGAGTAGTTGGGATTACAGGCATGTACCACCACGCCTAGCTAATTTGTGTATTTTTAGTAGAGACGGAGTTTCACCATGTTGGCCAGGCCAGTCTAAAACTCCCAACCTCAGGTGATCCACCCGCCTTGGCCTCCCAAAGTGTTGGGATTACAGACATGAGCCACCACACCCATCCAGATACTCTTAACTATGAGATGTTTCAGAAACCAAAAGTTTTCTCCCACTTACCAACCTTAGCCTAAACCATCTATGATGAGTGGGAGGGAGATGGGGTAGTCATACATATGGTGTTTTGTTTTATTATGCGTGTTGTATGCCTTAGGGGATATTTTACTTTTATTATTTACTATTTATTGCCTAGTTTGTTTCTTCTGTGCCTCTCCCGTAAATTTCATGAGGACAGTGATTTTATTTGACTTGATTTTTGGTTGGGGGAATTATTTTTTCAAGTTCTTTTTAAAATGGGCTTTATTTTTTTTAGAGTAGTTAACAGGTTTACAGAAATTACACAGTGATTATAGGGAATTTCCATATACCCCCTCTTCCCCATAGTTTCTCCTATTGACATCATGCATTAGTGTGGTTCATTTGTTACATTTGATGAACTGATTTTGATTTCATCATTATTAAGTAAGGTTCATAGTTTAACATCCGTTCTTTGTGTTGTACATTCTCTGTATTTGGAAAAATGCATAGTGGTATGTATCCCCCATTACAGCATCACGCACAATCGTTTCAATGCCCTAAAACTCCCTTGTGCTCCTCCTCATCCCCTCTTTCCCTTCTCCCCAACCCTTTGCAACCACTGTCATCTTTTTCTCTTTTCTTTTTTTTTGTTTTTTTTTGAATGGAGTCTTGCTATGTTGTCTGAGCTGGTCTTGATCTCCTGGGACTCAAGCAATCCTCCTGCCTTGGCCTCTTAAGGTGCTGGGATTACAGGCATGCACCACCATACCCAGCTATTTTCACTGACTCTGTACCAATTTCCAGAATGTCAAATAGTTGGGATCATACAGTATGGAGCCCTTTAGACACTTTCACTGAACAACGTGCATTAAGTTTCTTCCATGTCTTTTTGTGGCTTGGTAGCTTAATGCTGAGTAATATTTCATTGTGTATGAATGCACCACATTTTATCCATGGACATATTGACGGGCATCAAAACTTCCAAAACTACTAAAAAGGACAGTTTTGGTAGTTTATGAACAAAATTGCTATAATTGTTTGTGTGCAAGTTTTCAACTCATTTTGATAAATACCTAATATTTTCTTTTACTGTAGACTATTTATTGCCTATTTTTTATTTGCCTCCCAGTAAGCTCCGTAGGGACAGTGACTTTTTTTTTAAGAGGGTTGCAGGGACGGTTTTTTCCACTGATGTATCCTGAATACCTAGAACAGTGCTTAACATCGTAGTAGGCATTCAGTAAACATTTGGCAGGGTCTTTAAAAACTGGTAAATACTTGGCAAGGTCTTTAAAAACTATCTTAACCCATGAAGGACATGAAATTATACTTTTTTTTTTTTTGAGACGGAGTCTTGCTCTTGTTGCCCACGCTGGAGTGCAATGGCGTGATTTCGGCTCACTACAACCTCTGCCTCCCAGGTTCAAGTGATTCTCCTGCCTCAGCCTCCCGAGTTGCTGGGATTACAGGCGCCTGCCACCAAACCCAGCTAATTTTTGTATTTTTAGTAGAGACGGGGTTTCACCGTGTTGGCCAGGCTGGTCTTGAACTCCTGACTTCGTGATCTGCCCATCTCGGCCTCCCAAAGTGCTGGGGTTATAGGCGTGAGCCATTGTACCTGGTTCATTTTGTTTTTAATTAGTGCTGGCCCACCATTTCTTTCTGTGTGCTGAACTTATGTTTATTCACAGGAGATACTAGCTCCTAAAAAAAATCTGCCAATGGTAAGACACTAGGTAATGGAAAACTCTGAAGTTGCAGTCTTCTTTTAACTACAGTTCCGCTTTAGGCAGAGTCTGCTGAGTTTGCCATCAAAGAAGGAAAAAAAACCACATTATTTCTTCTCTTCTTCTTCCACCCACAGCTGTTGCTTTAGCTTGTAATATAATTTCTTAAATCTGTAGGGTTTATGACTTAAATTTTGTACCGTCTCTGTAATTACCTCAATTGTTTAATCTTAGTTCTGTATTTACATGAATTCCTGACTGATCACTAGTCTTGTCATAGTTTCTCCCATCCCTAAATCTATTTAGGGATGGTTCTGGTCCTCCAGTCGTGTGTGTGTGTGTGTGTGTGTGTGTGTGTGTGTGTGTGTTCATGTACATGTGCATTTTTTTTTTTTTTTAACAGATGGGCTCAGGCTCAGTTGCTTTGTTCTTTATCATCAAGATTTTATGCTTGTGTATATCTCTTTGGCTTTTAATTATACTTAAAACATTTGTTTAGTCATGTTATTTTTTGAGAAGTGTGCATACATCTGACCTCACTTATCCTGCTTAGTAATGTGCATGTATATTTTTACATTCAGTTCTAAATGGAGCCCCTGGATTTATAAACTTGTGCGATGCTTTGAACGCCTGGCAACTGGTGAAGGAACTCAAGGAGGCGTTAGGTATTCCAGCCGCTGCCTCTTTCAAACATGTCAGTCCAGCAGGTAAAGCTCTGCGCTCTGGAACATTCCAGAATTGTTCGAAAGGCGTTTCTTCTTAAATTTTTTTGAATATTAACAAGTTCTAATGTGAATATAGACATTCTATGAAATCTGAAAGTCATCTGTTGATAACAGTATCAGTGTAACAATCTAAAATCTGATAAACACACACACACACAGAAAATTGTGTAATATTGTCAGATAGGAAAATGAGGCAGGAATTTGCGGGGTGGAACCATAAAAGTTTAGAAAATAAAAGTGAAATATCCTAATGCAGTAGACTAAGGTCTTTTCCCACATCTTTGAAAATGTAATGGAGTAAACATAAAGAAGAAGTTCTTAGGACTGTTTATCTGAAACTTCTTGTAGTCATTGTATGAGATACTTTGCTTCTGTGTTTAAATCATTATTTCTGCTATCGAGCTGTCTGTACACCACATCTTGCTGACAGTCCAGCACATGATTTGTTCTCAGATGTTTATTGGATGTTAAAGCGATGTGAGTGGGGAAGAAATAAATGATGTGTGATATCAAAGTGATATCAAGCAGAACAGAGAAAGAGACAGTAATGAAGTAAACCAGCTTCACCTACACGCTGGGTACTGTCAGGCTTCAATGGCTCTGTGGTTTCAGAGGGCAGAGAGGAGATTTCCCTCACAGTGCTCCCACAACCATATTTTTAGTGTTTAATTATCTGGCTAAATAGATTTCTGTTTAGTTTAGCATAGGCACTAGAAAATATGCTGTATAGACTGGATGTTAAGAAAAATGTCTTGATTTAGGTGTTGACAGGTAGTAACTTTAGCTTTCTGGGTTTATGATTTTACTATTTTCTAACCAGGTGCTGCTGTTGGAATTCCACTCAGTGAAGATGAGGCCAAAGTCTGCATGGTCTATGATCTCTATAAAACCCTCACACCCATTTCAACAGCATATGCAAGAGCAAGAGGTCAGACTCATAGGGCTTTTTGATTTGGAGGAGAAAGAAAAAGCAATGTTTTATCCCGAATAGAATAAAAAGGATAGAATAAAGAAAAAATATATAGATATTCTATGTAATATATAGATGAAATTAAGGACTTCTATCTCTATATAAATATGTAGTTATTTTATGTAATATAGCTTGATTAAAGTAAAATACCCTTTATAGGATTTATAATGTTTTGCTAATATTTAAGAGTGATTATATGAGTGTCTCAAAAGACATTTGTTTATAAAAGTATGTTAGTATTTTAATATAATAAATGGAAACACAATTGGAATTTGGTGAATGTAATTTTGCTAATTTAGGCTATCGAATGTGTTTGTTATTGTTTAATATGTGACCAAAATTGAAATTATAAAAAGCTTTTTTTTTTTTTTTTTTTGAGACCGAATCTTGCTCTGTTTCCCAGGCTGGAGTGCAGTGGCACGATCTTGGCTCACTGCAACCTCCGCCTCCTGGGTTCAAGCAATTCTCCTGCCTTAGCATCCCGAGTAGCTGGGATTACAGGTGCATGCCACCACGCCTGGCTAATTTTTTTGTATTTTTAGTAGAGACGTGATTTCACCAGGTTGGCCAGGCTGGTCTCGAGCTCCTGACCTCAGGTGATTTACCTGCCTCAGCCTCCCAAAGTGCTGGGGTTACAGGCGTGATGTATGGCTCTTCTAACTTTACTAAATTTGGTTAGAGTCATGTTTTATCAGAGACATTTACTTGTTGAATTTAATAACCTGTGAATATTACTTTAATATTTGTGAAAGTTCTTGAGAAACTATTATCATAGTTTATCATCTACAGCAGCGGTCAGCACCTTCAGCTGAATCCAACCTGCCACCTGTTTTTGTGAATATAGTATATATATTAACTGGTCCTTCACAGAAAAAGTTTTCTGAGTGTCACTCTAGAGGGTAAAATTAAAGAACACTTTCTTACTGGTTACTTCAGTTAAATGACTTATCGATCTGTTAAAATCTTATGTAAACAGTAAAGTTAGCTTTAGAGAAATGAATTTTCTATGACAGTGGAGAATTTTATTTTTCTATGTCAGGATACTTTGTGATAAATACCTCATTTTAATTTTATTTACAGGGGCTGATAGGATGTCCTCATTTGGTGATTTTGTTGCACTGTCCGATGTTTGTGATGTACCAACTGCAAAAATTATTTCCAGAGAAGTTAGTGGATATTCATGTATCTTAATCTGTGTGTAATTGAATAAAGCTTTATTTGTTCATATTGTTCACTGAAACCATACTATAATATTTATATTTATATCTTTAAATTAGTTAAGTTTATCATTTAATGTTCATATTTTAAATAGAACATGAATCTTAAATTGTTAATTTTGAATTGTAGTGAATTATTGTTTCAAATGGACATTTGGCTGTTACGATAATGTTTTTAACTTATATATTTATTTTAAATTATTTTGTTGTCTTTATGCCAAAGTTATTGTTTCTGAAGAGCAGAAGTTGTAATCTTAGGTAGTGATGCGATAATGAATCTTATTGTACAATGGGAAAAAAATAGAAACTACATTAATAAACTTACTCCATCAGTTAAATACCAAACAAGTATTCCAGACAGGTGGGGGTACTGATGGTAGTAGGAAGACAGGAAGAAAAGGAAAAAAGGTTGAATAGCTCAGAAAGGGAAAAAAATAGAAGTGAAGGCTGAAGGAGCATGTGGCTTGGCAGTATTTTGTTGCTTTAGGATTCTTTCCATGGCTACTGCCATCCCTGAGTTACAGGTTACAGGACGGCTATGGCGTTTGTACCTTTCATCATGTTGAATCTCTGATTTAATCTGGTCTTGCTGTTAAGGAAAACGCCTGCCAGAAGAGGTCATTTAACCATATACTAGCAGAGTCAGGACTAGAATGTGCTCTTGTTCATTCAAAACACTCCCTGAAGAAATATTTCCTCCTGAGGTACGTGCGTTAGAGCACATCACTCATATTTTCTTAGTTTAAACTGAAACGAACAAAAGCTTGGAAAGGACAGAAAGTTAGAATCTGCGATACAGAAAGCCGTATTCTAACATAGATTTCTCTTTTTCAAGTATAGCATTAGCATTGTCTGTTGGAGGCAGAAACCAGAATATGCTGCCACATTATTTAAGGCTGATAATTGCTGCTGGATTTTTTTAAGAGGTGTTCTCTGATTTTTAAAAATAGAAATTAAAAGTTAATATTTTTGCAGGTATCTGATGGTATAATTGCCCCAGGATATGAAGAAGAAGCTTTGACAATACTTTCCAAAAAGAAAAATGGAAATTACTGTGTCCTTCAGGTGAGTGCAATTCATGTTTGAAGCAATAATTTGCACTTTTATTCTGTGTCTCTTCCCCCCTTGTTTAATCTTTCCTTTATACGCATACCCTTCTAGTTTATCCTTATCATCCTTTTCCCCTAATCCTGCATTAAAAAAAAATACTATTAACTTGGGGATTTGAGATGAGGGTAGCTTTCTTACCCTCAATTTTAACTTTTTGCTCGTTGAAATGGCTCATGCCTGTAGTTTCAGCCACTTGAGAGGCTGATGTGGGAGGATGGCTTGAGGCCAGGAATTGGAGGCTGTATTGTGGTACCGTGATGCCTGTGAATAACGACTGCACTCCAGCCTTGGTAGTGTAGTAAGACCATGTCTCTAACATATAATAATAACAATATTTAATGGAAAGTCTGTCCATCCTTCTGTTACCTTTTGAAAAAATAACTAATATTTTAAATTTCTGGCTTATCTTTCCTGAAATAGTCTGTATATGCAGCAAATGTTTGCACGTGCAAATCTTTTTCTATTTTCCCATTGACACAAGTGCACCCTGCTTCACCTTCTTGGAAGTTTGTCCTGTATCTCTGTATTTTAACTTACCTAGACAGTCACCAATCTTTAGCTGCTACAAATACTCCCGCAGTGAATGACCTAGAAAAGTCCTAAGGGTGAAATTAAGGCTTTAAAACAAGCTATATGTGTATTGATAAGCCTGATTGATACTGCCCCTTTCAGATGTTGTAGGCAAATTCATTGTCCTAACTGAAATATATAAGGATGCCTGTTTCCCAACACTTTTGCCAGCATTGTGGTTTTATACTTTTAAAAAGTCTCTGCAATTAGAAAATGGCATCTCAATGTAGTTTTAACATTGTGTGTGGTATAAGCATCTTTTCATGTTTGAATGTTTTTATTCTTTTTATGAACTGTCTTTCCATATTCTTTGATTTTTCTACCAAGCTGTTGAGGTGTTGTGTTTGTTTGTTTTTTTTTTTTAACTGATTTTTATGAGCTCTTCTGTATTGGGAAAACTAACTCATGGTCTAAGATTATGCATTGATAAAGCGAAGAGTTATTTCAATTTAAAGTAAAAATTCCTAATGCTGCTTTTCACATAGTATTTGATATCAGAACTCTGTGGAATCCTAATTCCATATAAGGAAAGTTATTAAGTATATTCCTTTGATTGTAAGATACCAATAATTTTATAGTTCACGATAGATTCCATGTCAGCTATTCAAGGAAAGAAGAAAATACCACATTCAAGATACATATTTTTTTTTTAGCCACTTGACAGTCTGTTGCCCAGGCTAGAGTACAGTGGCGCTATCTTAGCTCACTGCAACCTCTGCCTCCTGGGTTCAAGCAATTCTCCTGCCTCAGCCTCCTGAGTACCTGGGACTACAGGCATGCACTACCAGGCCTGGCTGATTTTTGTATTTTTAGTAGAGACCGGGTTTCACCATGTTGGTCAGGCTGGTCTTGAACTCCTGACCTCAAGGGATCCACCCGCCTTGGTCTCCCAAAGTGTTGGGATTACAGGCGTGAGCCATCACGCCTGGCCTCCAGTTTCTTAATCAAGTTTTTTTGTTGTTGTTGTTACTAAGAGTATTATGTACTTAACAACTATTAGCATTTTCTTGTAGCATCATGGAAAATATTTTCCAAAACCTGAATCATTGTCTTGATCTCTTTAACACCTGATAGTACCATGTTGGAGAGTGTCAAAGGAATATGAGGACTTCATTGCTATTTTACTTATTTGAGTTATTTGGCTTAGTTTGCACATTGGATACATGATGATAAGCATGAGACAACTTATCCCTCTACCTGACTTATGATAAGTTTCTCCTAGCATCAGTTAATAGGAGAGCATATCAACTTTAGAAATTTTGTCATGCGTAATACAAAGGAACATTTTAGAATTCAAGAAAATGTAGATTAAGCAGAACTAGTATGTATGGGGTCTTGCTTATAAATTATAGATATCAGTGCTTTCTAAATCAAAGATCATCCAAAGCATAAAGAAGAAATAGTGTCAAGTTTAAAAAAAAATCCAGGGAGAGAGTAGTGTTACACATATTGTTCCACATACCTCAATGTTTTTTTGGTTCAAAATTTGGGAGAGGAAGATGACAGTAACTCATACAGATTCCTTCCAAATAACAAAGACCCGGGTTACAAATCCTGTTTTCTCACTTTTAGCTTTTAATTCATGGGTTAGCTGGGTATTTTGTAACAGATTTTTAGAAAGGAAAATTAGAATTTAATGTTTGTGTCACGGCTTATTTAATTAGCACATCTGTTTTATCTGCCGACCTTCCAAAAGAACCATACACATAGTAACTTAGCCAAAAACACACTCACTGGAATCATTGGTTTTTAACATGTTGTATATAGGTTGTAAAATCTATAAAATGCTATTGGGTAGTAAAACCTATAAAAGACTTTGGAGAAAAATATTAGTGCCTGACTATCGTATTGTATCATGTCAGAACAATTTAACACATCATTTGGTGTGTGAGAAAAATTAGAAAATTAGAAAAATGTGTAACAGAATTAGAAACATGCATGTAACTTTACTTATAATGAAATCTTTTGTACATAAAGTAAATGAAAATTTCAGGGAAGTGGATAGATCACCTTTAACTTTTACAATTTGTATTTTAGATGGACCAGTCTTACAAACCAGATGAAAATGAAGTTCGAACTCTCTTCGGTCTTCATTTAAGCCAGAAGAGAAATAATGGTGTCGTCGACAAGTCATTATTTAGCAATGTTGTTACCAAGAATAAAGATGTAAGTTGGGAAGTATCTGAACTGACTGCTAGTAACTTCAGTTGGTCTATTTTCAATACTTATGAGCTTTACATTTATTAAGATCTGGATTTAGAACTGCTTTATATGCACACAGCTGTCTCATCTTTGAGTCATCAAATAAGCTTTGGAGTTTAAGAAATGAATCAAAGGCCATGTTAGATGCTTCTGTGCATATGTACATAGAGAGCTATGTAGCTTCAATCGTACATGAATGGGATCATGTGTTCCATAATCTGTCTCCTGTAACTTGCCTTTTTTCCATGTACTAGATTAGGCTACAAATGTGTTTTTGTATCAATAAATACAGATGCTGGGTGCGGTAGCTGACATCTGTAATCCCAACACTTTTGTAGGCCAAGGGGCAGATCTCTTGAGCTCAGGAGTTCAAGACCAGCCTAGCCAATGTGGTGAAACCCTGTCTCTAGAAAAAGTACAAAAATTAGCCTGGCGTGGTATCTGCACCCATAGGCCCAGCTACTCGAGAGGCTGAGGTGGGAGGATTGAATGAGCCTGGGAGATTGAGGCTGCAATGAGCCGTGTTTGTGCCACTGCACTCCAGTCTGGGTGACAGAACAATACCCTGTCTCAAAAATAAATGCGTAAGTATTCATATCTTTATCTGAAAGTCCATATGGCAATCAGTCCATGTGTAGATGTACTATGATGGATGTTTTTCTTATTTTTACTTTTATTATTTTTGTTTTAAGAGACTGGGTCTCGCTCTGTTGCCCAGGCTGGAGTTCAGTGGTGCGATCATAGCTCACTGCAACGTGGATCTTACGATGGATAATTAGATTGCTTACATTTTCAGTGCTATGATCAATGTTTTTATATAGACAAGTTTTTGGACTTGTGCTCTTTGTTATCTTGTAGTAGGTACATGTTCCTAGGATAATAATGGTGATTTTTGTGTTTTGAATATATTATCTCATTTAACACTTAGATCACTCTTCAGGGCTGACTACCATTGTGTCTGTTATGAAGATCACAAAATTGTACCATAGAGGACAGTTAAGAAATTTGCCCAGAGTTGTACAATAAAGAATGGACAAGCTGACATTTATTTTCTGGAGTATCTTAACTGGGCCTTAAGTTCAAAGGATGTTTTTCCTAGGTCTAAAGTAGGCTGTGCTTGTTTTTCAGTACTTTGAAGGAATCATTCCATTGCTCTCTGGTCTGTCTGGCTGATAGCCTGGAATTTTTTTATTGAGTGCTAGGCACTGGGTATGAAAAAACTGTAGCGATATTTGGAGGGCTGGATGGTGTTATTTTTTTTCTCCGGTGTTGACTTGTGCTTCGGTTGGGCAGATTAGGAGATATCTTCATTCTGTGAGGAATTGTTGAGCTGATAGGAGTTCAGCCTTCAGTCTTTGTGAGGACTGGTCTGTTTATGGTTCACTCCTGCTCTCTGAATATCTACTGCTGTACGCTGAACTCGGCTTTTGTCCCTTAGTCCTCTAAGACTGCCAAAAGTTGTGCTCAGCCAATTTACCTTTCAGTTTATTGCATGCCACTTGGAAAATACCTTGAGGAGAAAAGCAGACTGTCAGGCCCATTTCTTCCTGCTTCCATTTTCTCTGTGATCTTTGCCTGTTAGTACTTGCTGTCTATCCTCTCTGCCCAGCTTTTTTGTTTGTTACTAAAAGAGGATTGGTCTCTTAGCAAGCTATTTGCTGTAACAGAAGAAGATGGGGGGCTTGCTCCCAGGTCTGACTCCTGAGGCCTTTTCAGTAGAATTGCTGGAAATGAACCTTAAAATCTTTATCCAGAGAGTTCTGTCTGTTGATAAGCATACGATGATTAACACATCTTTTTTTGTTTGTTGATTTAATGTCTATTCTTTTATTTCTGTCTTTGACAATTAATGGTGTCCTGACGTAAAGAAACATGTAGGCATACATAGAAATATCTTTCAGCCCTTTGGAATCCACTCTGGTTGGTTCATGTACTTTGAAAAATACCGAATGGATATTGACCTAGATTCCATGGTACCATGTTGAGAATTGTGCCTGCCTATTGAGAGTCTTTTTTCCTAAGGTTTGTAGATATTGGATTCATTAATAATTTAGCGATCTTGATAGGTTTTGTGCCTCTGGATATTTTTTCACAAGGGTGGTGGGTGTGATCTTAATCGTTTATCTAAACTCTCTCCTTGCTTCATGTGAATTCTTAGTAGAAATTTGGAAACTTAAGGATGAGAGAATGATAGCTTTATTCTCCTTTCTATTTTACCCCTGTCTTTTTAAGTGGATTTTTGTTAACATTCCAGCCTCAGAATTATTAGTCTGGAACCATTTCAGTCCTGAGAGAACCAGACAGGTGGACAGGATGTTTATTAATACTGAACATGTTTGAATTGTTTCCTCTTCTCCCATTTTTCTTGAATAGTGCTTTAATTGTTTTAACTATTTGTAGCATGTTTCTAAGACTGGATTCCCTTACTCCCAGTCCACTGGCATTTCTCGTATTCCTTGATCCCAACCCAGGATGTCAAGTATATTAGTTTTTATCACGCTGCTGTGAAGAAATTCCTGAGACTGGGTAATTTATAAAGAAAAGAGGTTTAATTGACTCACAGTTCCACACGGTTGGGGAGGCCTCAGGAATTGTACAATCATGGCAGAAGGCACCTCTTCACAGGGCGGCAGGAGAGGGAATGAGTGGAAGCAAGAGAAATGCCATACGTTTACTGTCAGATCTCATGAGACTCACTCATTATCACGAGACTGCACGGGGGAAACTGCCTCCATGATCCAGTTACCTCCACCTAGTCCCACCTGTGGACACGTGGGGATATTATAATTCAGGGTGACATTTAGGTGTGGACACAGCCAAACTACATCACCAAGATTATCTTTGGAGGTCTAGACATCTATGAAGCTGGCTTTTGCTAATAAGTTTTCTGGGAACCAAAGGAATCAGATTTATAGTTAGTGGCTCAAATAGCAGATAAAGATAAAAGATATGTAACAATAATAATACCTTAGAGTAAATTCTTAAGAAATCCTAATAGCTTTTTTAAATTCAACTTTTAATTTTGAGGTGAAAGTTGTAGGTTCACATGCAGTTGTAAGAGTTCCCATGTAACCGTTACCCTATTTCTCCTAATGCTAGCATTTGTCACACTACAGTACAATTCCACAACCATGCCATTGACATTGATAACAGTTGAAGATACAGGACACTTTCTGGCCGGGTGCGGTGGCTCACGTCTGTAATCCCAGCACTTTGGGAGGCCGAGACGGGTGGATCACGAGGTCAGGAGATGGAGACCATCCTGACTAACGTGGATGGGGAAACCCCGTCTCTACTAAAAATACAAAAAATTAGCCGGCCTGGTGGCGGGCGCCTATAGTCCCAGCTACTTGGAAGGCTGAGGCGGAAGAATGGTGTGAGCCCTGGAGGCGGAGCTTGCAGTGAGCCCAGATCACACCACTGTACTCCAACCTGGGCGATAGAGCGAGACTCCGTCTCAAAACATTAAAAAAAATTAAAAAACATAAAGATACAGGACATTTCCAACACTGCAGTGATCCCTCATGTTCTTCTGTAGCCGGGCTCACTTGATACTGCTTCCACCCCCTCCTTACCCTTGGGCAACCACAAATCTGTTTTTCCTTTTTATAATTTTCATTCATCGTGCATTCATACACAGTTTTTTTTGTTTGTGAACATAAGGTTTTGTTTTTGTTTTGGGGGGAAACAGGTTCTAACTCTGTTGCCCAGGCTGGAGTGCAATGGCATGATCTTGGCTCACTGCAATCTCTGCCTCCCTGGTTCAAGCGATTCTCCTGCCTCAGCCTCCCAAGTAGCTGGGATTACAGGCATCCACCACCACACCTGGCTAATCTTTGTATTTTCAGTAAAGACGGGGTTTCACCATGTTGTTCAGGCTGGTCTTGAACTCCTAACTCAGGTGATCCACCTGCCTTGGCCTCCCAAAGTGTTGGGATTACAGGCATGAGCCACTGTGCCCAGCCTAAACATAAGTTTTTATTTCTCTTTGATAAATGCCCAGGGTTGTTAATTGCTTTGTGGTATGGTAGTTGCATGTTTACTAAGAAACTGCTGAATTGTTTGCTAGAGTGGCTTGTACCATTTTGTATTCCCCCCAGCAGTGGATGAGTGATCCAGTGTCTCTGCATCCTTACTAGCTTTTGGTATTGCCACCTTTTGTTTTGTTTTGTTTTTTAAAGACATTCTGATACGTGTGTATCAATATCTCACTGATTTTAATTTGCGTAATGGCTCATGATGTTGAACATTTTTTTGTGTACTTATTTGCTACCTGTGTATCCTTTTTGGTGAAATGTCTCTATGTCTTTTGCTCATTTTCTAATTAAATTTTTGACTTAACTGAGTTGTTTTGTTTTGTTTTGAGATGAAGTCTCGCTCAGTCACCTAGACTGGAGTACAGTGGCACGATCTTGTTTCACTGCAGCCTCCACCTCCCAGGTTCAAGTGATTCTCCTACCTCAGCCTCCTGAGTAGCTGGGATTACAGGAATGCGCCACCACACCTGGCTAATTTTTATATTTTTAGTAGAGACGGGATTTCACCATGTTGGCCAGGCTGGCCTGGAACTCCTGACCTCAGGTGGTCCACCTGCCTTGGCCTCCCGAAGTGCTAGGATTACAGGCGTGAGCCACTGCGCCTGGCCTGTTACTGAGCTTTTAAAGTGTTTTTGTGTTTTAGGGGCTAGTTTGTTGTTGGATATGAGGTTTGTTAATAATTTTCTCCTAGTCTGTAGCTTGTCTTTTCATCCGCTTTAACGAGGAATCTTTTACAGAGTAAAAGTTCTTAATTTTACTGAAGTCAAATTTATCAACTTATCCATTGGCTGCAGTGAATATTCTCTGTCCCCTTAGCATACAGAGGTGGACTGTCATCCTTCTTTTCCATTTGTATTCATGCTTTATACTAAAGATAGTGATATTTTTGGGTGTTACTCTTGTTGTTCTGTTTGGTCCAGTAACTCCTAATGGTTTTTGAACGGTTTCTACTTAAGTTATTCTAAACAAAAGAGAAAATGATCCTAATTTGATTTTTCCAAACAGTCTTGGCTGTCCGTGTGCATCATAATGATTTGTGATGTCTATGAAACAGTTCTCTGCATTGGTTCTGAACATAAATTTTACCATGTCTCCCGATCGTTAAAAGTACTCTGGTCAAGAAAATATTGTTTGTCAGTTTTGGAATGGGTATGGTAGTTCTTACCTTGTGTGATATAAAAAGATTGAATCCACAATTGCTGCAAAATAACATTAGTTTGTTTCTATGGATGCATTGTGCTAAGTTCCACCACAAATGTGTTAAATATTTAAGTAAATCGTGGTAGTGTGTAGCAGGAACAGTGAATTTCCCTCTGTCATTTGAGAGGTATAACTATGTCGTAGGTCTTTTACATTAAATAGAACTAAGAAGCTTAAAGTTGGCCGGGTGTGGTGGCTCACACCTGTTGTAATCCTGGCTCTCTGGGAGGCTGAGGCAAGTAGCTGACTTGAGCTCAGGAGTTCGAGACCAGCTTGGCCAACATGGTGAAACCCCATCTCTACTAAAAATACAAAAATTAGCCAGGCATGGTAGTGTGCATCTGTAATTGAAGCGTGAGAATCTCCTGAACCCGGGAGGTGGAGGTTGCAGTGAGCCAAGATAGTGCCGTTGGAGATGTCCCATTGTGTCTGGGAGACAGAGTGAGATTCTAATTCCAAAAAACCACAAAAAATAACATTTAAAAAAAGAAGCTTAAAATTAAATGAGTTTAAAAGGCCCCATGCGATTTACCATTGTGTATGTGTTTCAGTTGCCAGAGTCAGCCGTCCGAGACCTCATCGTAGCCACCATTGCTGTCAAGTACACTCAGTCTAACTCCGTGTGCTACGCCAAGAATGGGCAGGTAAATGGGCTGTTGGACTTGCCTTCAGGGGACTGTTGTTTTACGAAATTATATTTAAGCATCCGTCTGCCTTAGATATTGGACAGCCTAAAAGGGAATACTTGCCAAGTATTTCTCTTTTGGGTTTGTTAGTGTTTTCCTCAGTACCCTGGTGGGCTGTTAAAACTAATGATGATCAGAAAATATCTTTGGCACCAGGTACTTGGAACCAGGTACTCAAATTAGTTGTGCCGCTTCTTGCCTGGAGTAGGTTGGCACGTTTTGGATTAGTGAGACTCTAATAGCTGTTACAAAACTGGATTATTTACTCTTCTTTTCCCCCATTGGTAGTATTTCCAGGGAAGAGGAGGTAAGTTATGGTACTGCCACCTGCCAGCCTATATTTTTGCAGCCTGCAGGGTATTTTCACATTATTTTTTACATTGTCTTATTAAGAATCTGCTGAGTAGAAAGACTGCTAGACTAGCAGTTAACCTGTTCTTTAAGAAATCACGTTTATTGAGGCATAATTTGTATACAGTAGAATTCACCTTTTTAAATGTACAGTTTGACCAGTTTTCACAAATTTCACAGAATGTGACCGCTGCTGCAATAAAATACTGAACATTTCTCACTGTGTAATGTTAAGCAAGATATTGAACTTCTTTCCTAGTGTCCCAAGCCTCAAAATACAAGATCGAACTGATTCATCTCTGAGGTCTCTGCTAGCCTTTTCTTCACATGGTGTCCTGAGCTTATCTCTTTGGCATTTGTTAAATTATTTGGCCCACACGTGATGGGGAGGCAGATGGATATGAATTAGCCTATGGCCTGGAAGACCCAAGATTGCCAATCTCTGTAGTAACAAACTCCTGGGACATTGTGTCTACTGACATCAGGTTCTAGCAAGTTCTGTAAGTCCATGTAGAGTGAGTCCTTCTTTCCTGATGTCCAGGTGGAGGCGGCTGCACAGGTGTTTGTGGTCTCTTTTGTTCTCTTGTAGCTGTGGGCAGGGTTGCCAGCAGCTGTGCTCAGAAAGAGATGGACTGTTGGGCAGACAGCTGAGGGGCTGTTCATTGTAGGAACTAAAACCAGAAAACACACCTGTGTATTTAAGTCCTTGGTGCTTAGAATTCAACCCATAGAAATAGAGGAAGGAAGGAAGAACATTTGTACCTGGTGGAATTGTTTCTACTTTTAGCTACCCGCGTCAGATCCTTATCTCAATTTCTGAGAGTTGGTATTTTAACTGTAATTTACACACTGGGGCAAAGACTTTCAAATAACCATAGTTATTTTTGTGGTCATTGGTTTTATTTATTAGTTAATTATAGAGATAAGGTCTTGCTCCGTTGCCCAGGCCAAAGTACAGTGACATGATCATTGCTCACTGTAGCCTTGGACTCCTGGGCTCAAGCGATCCTCCCACTTCAGCCTCCTGAGTAGCTGGGACTACAGGTGTGCGCCACCACCCCCAGCTATTTTTTTATTTTTATTTTTTATAGAGATGAGATGTTGCCATCTTGCCCAGGCTGGTCTCCTGGGCTCAAGCGATCCTTCTGTCCTGGCCTCCCAAAGTGCTGGGATTACGGGCATGAGCCAGTGTGCCCAGCATTGGTCATTAATTTTAACTCTTTTTTTTTTTCTGGCCTCAAGCCATCAATTTATTGAATTGTAGAATATTAATAGTCATGTCACATATCACTGAAGAGCTATAAATAGTAGTTATAAACCTCTTGTTACCCCCCCTTTTAATGACTTAATATTATTTATATTTCTCTTGGCCTGATATGTTCCTCCACAAAACTAATAAATAGGTTTTAGAGAATGTGCACAAAAGATCCTTTTGAGAAGAAAGTGTTGTTGGAAGAGGTGTTCACTTTAATGTCTGTGTTCCTCAGGTTATCGGCATTGGAGCAGGACAGCAGTCTCGTATACACTGCACTCGACTTGCAGGAGATAAGGCAAACTATTGGTGGCTTAGACACCATCCACAAGTGCTTTTGATGAAGTTTAAAACAGGAGTGAAGAGAGCAGAAATCTCCAATGCCATCGATCAATATGTGACTGGAACCATTGGCGAGGTGAAAGACTTGTCATTGGGTTCTGGGCTGTATTAATATTCAGTTCACCCCTTTATGTGTAACAGATTTTAGCATCATCACTACACAGAGAAAAAGATACTTTCCTTGAAATTCTATGTTGTCTAAAATTGAGCATTGAAACTTCTTACACATTTCTCATTTTCTTCTGTCTTATGTAACTTTCTTCATTGTTTTTGACCCCTTTCTGAAGCCACAGACCTCTGTCTTTTTAAGTTGCAGCCTTGGTGTAGGTTTGTATATTGTACTTCCCCTGTTGTTTATAAGCTTTTGATGACAAGGACTGCTTTTCACCTATGTCGAGGTGTCTGCCATCGTGTCAGGCATGGTACTTGCTGTCTGACGGGTCTATATTCAACATTAAATACAAATTGCTTGACGGCAGGTAACTGTAGAGTCTTCTCCCACCACATTTTCTACATGTGCCATTAATAACGTGATATATTTTGTTACATTTCATGTTCTTCTGTTTGAAGAAGGTATGTGGGAACATGACAATCACAAACGTTAGGTAGGTAGCCTGCCAGAAGAAAAGATCTAGCCCAGTTTCTGGACATATTGCGTGCCTAACAAAATGCTAGATGGAAAACAGAAGCCTGCTAATCAAATAGTAGATGGTCTTCTGAAGAGCCAATTGACTACCCTCAGTTTTTTATTCAGGAGCAGGAATCAACATAAGTGTCACTGAAGAATGAGGCTGCAGAATATAACTGAAGTACTTAAAATATCTTTTTTTTTTTTTTTTAACTTTGATACTTGGATTTTTCTGTTTGATATTATCAGTCAACCCCTGCTACTAGTCCTGGAAGAGTCCTGGAAGTGAACAAGAGTAAAAGTACATCAAAGCTAAAACATCACCCAAGATAGAAGCACCTTGTAAAATATGATTAACTGTCTTAGTCTGTTTGTGCTGCTATGACACAATACTGCAGGCTGGGTAACTTATAAACCATAGATATTTATTTTTCATAGTTCTGGAGGCTGTGAAGTCCCAGATCAAGGTACTGGTGGGCTGAGAGTCTGGGGAGGCCTACCCTCTGCTTCCAAGATGGCACAGCCCTCTCTGGAGAGGACAGACACCGTGTCCTTACTTCACAGAAGGGGCAAACTTCCTCTGAAGCCCTTTTATAAGTCCATAATCCATTCATGAGGGCCCCACTCTCATCGCCTAATAACCTTCTAAAGGCCTTACTTTTTAATACTGTTGCATTGAGGATTAAGTTTCAACATGAAGTTTGGAGGAGATACACACACTCAAACCATAGCAAATATGAATTGTGTTTTGTCTACAACTGATTTTAGATTTAAAATAATTTTTGTATAAGCGTAGTTATAGAACATTCATCCTCATCTCTTTCCTAGATTGGATATGGAGGGGTTTTATTTGAAAACTGAAAGCCCTTGGAATACAATTTTTTATTTGCCTTCTTTGCTACAGTACTATCAAAGCAGTAGATCTAAATTAGGCAGTAGTCTAATTAATAGACATAAAGTAGTAGATACGAAGTAAATTTAAATTAGAGATTTTTAGAACAGTGTATTTTTATGTAAGTAGCTTAGCCAAAAATAGAAAAATTATATATATACTTGGGATAAACTGATTTAGAAAGTAAAATGGTATTATCTTTATTTGGTAAACTTAGAATCACTTTTTTTCCTTAATGAAAATGTTTCTAAAAGCATCAGAGAGATTCTAGATATGTGAACTTCCATGTAAATAATGGTCATTATTTACAGTTAAGAAGTTCTGGCCAGGCGCGGTGGCTCATGCCTGTAATCCCAGCACTTTGGGAGGCCGAGGTGGG